CTTGTAACAGTAGTCGTCGGAATAACCTACTAGTGCTAGTAGCCATCGTAATACTAGTAGCAGTGGTAATAGCAGTACTCGCAGCAACAGGAGTACTAGCAGCACGAACAGTAGCAGCAGCAGTAGCGGTAGCAAGAGCAGCATTGAAACATGTATTACAGTAATCGTAACATTAACAATAATCATAAACTGTTGAAATACTAGCCACGACAGTCGTAACAGTAGTAGTAGCTGTTGTTGTATGAGTAATCGTAGCTGTAGTGCACGACGTGGCGGTAGTAACAGTAGTGGCCGTAGTAATAGTAGCAGGCGTAATATTAATGGTCAGGAGTAGTAGTAGTGGCGCTAGTACTCACGTCACCATAAGTAGTAGTGACAGAGGTACGTCCAGTCGTAGTCGTAGTCGCAGTCGTAGTCGTAGTAATAGCAGTAGTGGTAGTAGTCGCAGTTGTAGTAGTTGTAGCCGTAGTCGCAACTGTAATGCTACCAGTAGCCGCAGTAGAGTAGTAGTAGTAGTAGTAGTAGCAGTAGTAGTAGTAGTAGTAGTAGGTAGCAGTAGAAGTAATAGTCGTATAGTCGTAGTAGCAGTAAACCGTAGTAGTAGTAGCAGCAGGGATAGTTGTAGTAGTCGTAATAAGAATGGTCGTAGTAGTATCAGCTGCAGTCGTAGTAATGTAGCAGTAATGTAGTAGTAATAATACTGTAGTAGTGGTAGCAGCAGCAGTTGCACAAGCAATCGTATTCGAAGTAGAAGTAGCAGTGGTAGTAGCTTCAAAAGGAGTACGAGTAAGAGTGATAGTAGCAACAGTCAGAGTAGCAGCAGTAGTGGTAGTAGTGGTAATAGTAATAGTAGTAGCGGCAGTGGTAGTAGGAATCGCCGTGTTGGTAACTATGGTAATGGTATGACTGGTAGCAGCAATACGTATAGTAGTAATCGTACCAGTAGGGAAAACAGAAGCAGTCGCAATAGCAGTAGCAGTAGAAGTAGTAGCGGTAGTAGCAGGAGTTGTGTAGCAGTCGTGGTAGTAGTCGTTGTCGTAGCAGCAGTAGAAGTAACATTAGTAGCTGTAGTAGTAGTAGCAAAGATGAGATGAGTAATAATGATAGCGCCAGTAATACTAGACAATAAAAATAATAACAGTCGTCCTAGTAAACTTACTAATCCTGATCATAGTGTAGCGATATACGGGTAGCGGCAGAAGTAACAATAGAGGTACTAGTAGCCGTAATAGAAGTAGTAGTCGTAGTAGTAATAGTAGAAATGTAATGTAATGTAATGGTAGCGGCATTCGTAGTAGCAGTAGTAGTACTTGTTGTAGTCTAAGTAATAATAGTAGTAGTCGTAGTCGTAGTGGTAATAGTCGTAGTCGTAGTATATGCACTAGTAGTGGTGGTAGTAGTAGTAGAAGTAGTAGTAGTAGTAGTAGTAGTAGTAGTAGTAGTAGTAGTAGTAGTAGTAGTAGTAGTGGCAGTAGTAGCAGAAATAGTAGTCGTGGTAGTAATCATCGTAGTAGTAGCAGTAGTAGCAGTAGTAGCAGTAGCGGCAGCAGTAGCAGTAGTAGTAGCAGATGTACAGTAGTAGTAGCAGTAGTAGTAGTAGTAGTAGTAGTAGTAGTAGCAGCAGGAGCAGCAGTGGCACTAGTAATAGGCCGCGGGCGCCGCCACGGGGGTTGGCCAGGGTGCGCGGCGCGCTCCAGCAGACTCTTGAGCCGAAAGGGCTACGAAGGTGGAGGTGTACAGTCGGGCTTGACTGGAGAGGACACGTGAGAGGACACAAGACCCTTCCGAAGGCAACATTGCCGCAGGAACGTAAAAGGCACGGGTCTCTAAAAGGCAGGACATAATGGTACCCTTGACTTGGCAGGGTTGACCTACTAGTCATGGCCGACTGGAAGAAGTTTGGCCGGCATGCCGTCAAAATAGTCACCGAACCGCCCTCTTGTGATCGACGAAAGCAAGCGGGTCCTACGCGAGATGACGTAGCGACCTCGCGCGGCGGCTTACGCGGGGCGCCAGCGCGGCATGCCACATTCGAGCTTGCGGGCACTCACGCGTGAGCTTACGCGACCAATTTACGCGCCAATGTCGGCGCAGACGACCCCGCTTCCTGCGTCGCCCATGCGGCACATCCACTTCCGAGGCCCCTCAGGATGACTGCTGAGAGCAAGCGGCACCCCCGAGACGGCCCGCCCTGGCCCGAGTGGCCCAAAGTGATCCCGCCGATCCTCTGCGAGATGTTAGGCAGAACATTCACAAGGAAGGCAACCTCCAGACCACCAGGAGCCCCCGAGGGCCCCGAAAGACGAGCGCATTACCCCCCCAAGAGACCTCCAACACGCATCCCCAGAAGCCTCCAAGCAGTCCTAACAAGGATAGCTGATATACGCGCCGCGTCACGACGCTCGACGCTGTGCGCAACAGCGCCAAACCCCAAGGGAGCGGCCGGTGATGCGCCAGCTGCGACATCGATATTGTTAACGTTTTCTTTTTCGGCGTTTCGACATTGGGCGGAAGGGGGGAGGAAAGCGGGGGTCTAGCTCTGGACTTCTGCAACAGTGCGTCCTGCTGGGGGGGCTCCACCTGCTTGAAACAGTCGCCAAAACAGACAGGATCTACTCAATGGGGGGGGAGGGGGGTGCGAGGGCCCCCGCCGATCGGCGAAACAACGAATAAGAAAACGATCACGTTGAAACAAAACACGATCAGACGAGAACGTCGACTCGAGGATCCCATCGAATCTTCGATTGGATCACGGTGGCACGGCTGTCGAAGGGTGCTTGTTCCAGCCTCAGGTGCAAGTCTGGAGCGGTACTCTGCAGCAAGTCTTGACGTGCCCTGGTGCATTCCTGCATGGGAGCTGGGCTTGCACCTGCAACGCAGATTCGCACGGATCTTGGGCAGCCTGTGCTGCCCAAGCGCACGGCCCCAGAAGGATGAGGGAAGAGCGAGAAGGATGGTTAACCAAAAAAGGACCCCTAATGCAAAAGATGGGGACCTCACTGAGGCCACGTCTTAAATGTGCTATTAGGGTTAGGGGTTCTTTAACTCTAGATGAGAGGAGAGCAGACAGAGAACGAGATTATGGTACCGCTGGACTATGGCGTATCGGCTCGCTCTCGCGGTGACACGGCCAGCTCAGAGCATCCAAGACCGCGCAAGGCCGATCCTGTAGGAGAGAAGAGGCCAGCACAACGCGTGGCGGACACGTGGAGAACCTAAATCCGCCACCGTGCCGTCAGCACGTACGGAAGGAGCTCGACCACAAGAAACCTGACACAACCCAACCCTGAGACCCCAGGACGTCCATAGATGCTTCGTGTGGCAACGTAACGCTTTCCATTGCAAAACCATCGACCCCCAAGAAACCCAGGGCACCCTGGAGGCAAGCAGGGTGTTTCTTGGCATGGGTGTTCACTGCAGTGGAGTGCCCCAAGGCTCATGCGGGCCTGCAGCCCTCAGAGGTAGAGGGGCCGAGAGGTTCTTCAGGGCCGGGACCACCAGTTTCCCAGCTGCTCTTGGGAGTTCCTGGGAGCTCCTGGGAGCTCCCGGGAGCTCCAGCTGCTCTTGGGAGTTCCTGGGAGCTCCTGGGAGCTCCCGGGAGCTCCTGGGAATTCCTGGGAGCTCCTGGCAGCTGCTCAGCCAGCTTCAGACGACCTCCCGAACCCTCCACAGATGGCTACACAAAATCCACGGAGCGGTCCAAGTTAGCTTCAAAACGACCCGCTGTGGTCCCAAGACGGCCCAAGGGGCCCAGAGGACGCCTCACGAGGTCTCCAAGAGCATCTACAAAAAAAACCCAAGAAGCAAAAAAACGTCCCATTCCCTTAAGCAAACGCACATGTTCTCCAGGAGACGCCCGATATCGCCCCGAGAGGCCCCCCGAAGATCGTGCCAAGACTGCTCAAGAGGCTCCAAAAGGGGCTCCGAAACGGCCCAGGGGAGGCCCAAGAGAGCCCAAAAGGGCCCCAAGACAGCCCAAGAAAGCCCCGAAGACACCCCAAGAGAGGCCTTAGTGGGGAAACGCGCACGGGCAGCTCGAGCGTCGGCCCCAAGAGGCCCCAAAACGCACCTGACTAGGGCCCCAAGAGGCCCCCCGAAGAGGCCCCCAGGAAGCCCCCGGTGACACCAGAGACTCAAAACTGCCGCCCAGCAGCCGCCGAGAGCCCTCCGAAACTACCCCAAGAAGCATCCATGAGAGCTCTCACCCACGACTCCTACGACCCACGCGAAAGGCCCCCTGGAGGCTCAGACGCAGCCCCACTCTCACCCACAACCCAGGCACGCTCCACGTGGCCGCAAAGAGGCGCACGAGAAGCTCCCAAGGGGCCTCAAGACGGCCCCCCAGGAACTGCCGAGAGCCCTCCGAAACTGCCCCAAGAAGCATCCACGAGAGCTCTCACCCACGACTCCTACGACCCAGGCTAAAAGCCCCCAGGAGGCTCGGAATGAGCCCCACTCGCACCCACGACCCACAACCCAGGCAAGATGCCCCGAGAGGCCCATCAGATGCCCCTTATGAGGCTCCAAGAGCCTTCCGAACTGTCTCCAAGCGGTCCCCGAGAGGGGTCCCAACAGTACCCAACAATCATCGGAGAGAGCTGCAACTCAGAGAACCCCCCTCGCGAACTGGCATATGGAGCGTGCGGCCCAAAAAAACGACCCGAGGACGCCCCCGAAGGCCTCCAAGAAGGCCCGAAGACGCCCCAAGAGACCCCCCAAGAGGCTCACAGGAAACCCCAGGTGGCACCAGAGAGACACACAAGAGGCTCCTAAGAGGCCTCGAAACTGCTCTCCAGAGTCCCCCGAGAGCCGTCCGAGGAGACCCCAAGAAGCATCCGTTGGGACTCTGACCCTCAACCCAGGCACGGTCGCGGGATGGGCCGAAGGCCGCTAGATATATGTCATGACAGAGCAAGCCCATCATAGATTCCATCAGGAGCGGGATCACGTGAGCGATCACGCGCACTCTTTGCCTGATCATTCCTGAAAGGGGGAAAGGTCTACCAGCAGGTCTCGAATAGCCAGCTCTGGCTGCGGCACGGGAAGAGCCAAAAGCCGCCCAGGTCGGGGCTGTACTTGGGATTCTTGGACTTCATGAGGGTGAACACGGAGCCCATAGGACACTGCTTGCTGGGATTGGAGAAGTAGCCCAAATCCTGCGCCACCGCGCTGATCTTTGATGACACGCAATACCAGCCATTGTTCCACAGGCCCCAGAAGTGATACTCCTCGCCGGGAGTGACGAAGACAGCGACGATGTAGTACGAGCGCCCCTCCACAATGGGAAGCTCTTTGGACAACTCTTCCTTGATTATGTCTGAGGTCCTGCCGATAAAAATTGCCTCTTCGCGATCCATCGCAACGTGAAGACCCTCGTTGCTTACCTCGTGCGGCCTGAGGATAGGCGAGTCGCCGTACTTTTCAACCAGTGTAGGAGATTGCGCCGGTATCTGGTAGCTCTGGTGAGTAGCGTAGGCGAAGCAGTTCTTGCTGCCACCCTCGCCCTTGAACTTCTGCTGCGGCATGGCGATCTTGATCTTCTGTCCGAACGCAGTCGTCATGACAAACTGCTCCTCGGGATCGCCTTCTGATGAAGGAATCTCGCCATTGTTCATCTCAAGCGTGTATCCAAGATATTTCTTGTTGCAAGAGATCTGCCACCGTGCCTGCACGGTACAGGCGTTGTCGAATGCCGGGTCCTGCTCCGTAGATGTTCTGTCTTCTGATTTGGGCCTCCCCACCCCCTGCTAGCAGACTGTCGCGTGCCCAACCCCCCTCCAGAGGCCACGATCCCTGGTGAAAAAAGAAACAATGGATCCGCGCCCCGAGCTTCCAAGACAAGGATACCAAGATGGCCAAAGATGCCTCGGAGATGGGCCAAGATGGCCCCAGGGCGGCCGAACATGGCCTCAAGACGGCCCAAGATGCCTCTAAGAGGGGCCCAAGGGGCCTCAAGAGGACTCCTAAAAGGGCCCGAAGAGACCAACATTGTTGATTTGCAAGTGGTTGTGGAATGGCGTTCACATTCTCGCCTTTTCGGGCTTCCGTCAGCTCAAAACGGCCCGAGAAGACTCCACGATGGCCCCAAGACGGCCCAAGAGGCCCGGCGATCCAAAGATGGCCAAAGAGGACCCCAGCAAGGGCCCAAGAGGCATCCCAGGCAGCCCCAAGACGGCCCAAGAGGGCCTCCCGTGGGATACAAGACGGCCTTAGAAGGCCATCCGACTGCCCAAGATGGCGCCAAGATCCCGCAGGCACCCACCATACTGCCAAGTGGGCCCCAAGACGGTCGAGGAGACCGCAGAACGGCATTAGAAGGCCCCGAAACGGCCACAACGAGCCCCCAAGACTGCCGCACAGAAGGCCTTAGACAGCCACAAGACGGCCAAAACAAATTCCAACGAGAACTGCTCAAATAGTGGAGACGACAGATGTCACACGTGCCGGCCTTTCTCTGCCTCCTCACTTTTGACGTTAGGCGAACTTCGATTGCTAGGATCGTAGCGTCTGTCCTCCCCTTCGTCCTCCTCCTGCCCCGTCTCCTCATCAGCATCTCCACCGTCATCATCGAAATCAGCATCATCAACAGCATCAGCATCATCAGCAGCAGCAGCAGAAGCAGCAGCAGCAGCAGCCTTCACCATCACCATCACCATCACCATCACCATCACCATCATCATCATCATCATCATCATCATCATCATCATCATCATCATCATCATCATCATCAGCAGCAGCAGCAGCAGCAGCATCAGCATCAGCATCAGCATCATCAGAACCATCATCCTCATCATCACCATCATCATCATCATCATCATCAGCAGCAGCAGCAGCATCATCATCAGCAGCATCATCAATCTCTACCAGCAGTATCAGCATCATCAGGAGCATCATCATCAGCATCCGCATCCCCACCAACATTAACGCCATCACCAGCATCAGCCTCATCATCATCATCATAATTACCACAAACATCACCACCACCACCACCATCAGCATCATCATCAGCAACAGCATCGTCATCATCAGCATCAACATCACCACCACCATCAACACCAACACCACCATCAGCCTCATCATCATCACCACCACCATCGTCATCGTCATCATCATCATCATCAGCATCAGCATCATCATCATAATCATCAGCATCATCATCATCATCATCATCATCATCATCATCATCATCATCATCATCATCATCATCATCATCATCATCATCATCATCATGACCATCATCATCATCATCATCATCATCATCATCATCATCATCATCACCATCATCCTCAGCATCAGCATCAGCATCAGCAGCAGCAACATCATCGTCACTGCTTTCCCCAGCTTGGAGACACGAGATGTCACACGTGACGGCCTCCCGTGCTCCCTCGACCAATCGCCCCCCAGAATGCTGGGATGGCGCAGTGGCGGAACTTGCCGCAGGCAGCTGGATACAGCCCGCATTCTGATGGCACTTCTTGCAGCACTTCTGACCAACCGTCTCGTTGACGACCACCGTGTCGCTCCCATCCGAGTCAAGTATGGTCGACAGTCCCCCGTCCGAGCGCCGCGCCTCGCACATGGAAGCCAGAGCCAGGGCCGAGAGCACTGCGCGAGCCATCGCTGAGAACAAACGCTGGCTGGACCCCAGGGATGGGGCCGAAGGAGTTTCGCAGGCGACGCTGGTGCTGGTGGCGACCTGGGCTCGCGGGAACCCAGCTGACCTGAGCCCGAGTTGCCACGGATGCACACCGGAGGGACGGTGGAAGAGGGGTGGCGGGCTGGGCAGAGAGAGGCCAGGTGGTCACACCCCTCGTGGACTCGGTGCACGCCTCTCAGCTGAGGGCCACGTCTTGCCAGGGTCTGCTGCACGACGGGGCGTGCACACGGGAACGCATCCCGCCTCCGTGGTCTGAACCAAATCCGATATTCGTGCTCGCCTGCACGTGCACTCCCAGCCCCGAATGCGCATGACCCCACGGGTGCGGCGCCACGTGCCGCTTCAGGATTATTGCTAAGCGACGTGCTTTGCCGATGCGTATCACAGCAGAGCCTCGACACCACGACTCCAGATTCTGAAGGGTTTCCGGGGCGCTCCCGGGCGCGGCCGAATTTCCAGGAGCTCCTGGGGGAGCTGAAACACTGCAGAAAATGCTGGAACCTCGAGGGCCAACAAAGTAGTGAGGCAACGCCTTACATTGCAGCGAGTGAGAGTGGCAACTGCTCGTCGCCACTGCTGCAAGACCGATGGGGCCACTCTTAGCACGAGGAGGATGAGGAGGAGAAGGAGAAGGAGGAGGAGGAGGAGGAGGAGCAGGAGGAAGAGAGGAGGAGGAGGAGGAGGTGGCGGAGTCGCGACCGCATTCCTCTAACCAAAACGAAGGCCCAACACAGGAGGTTTGGGGGGAGAGCATACCCGAGACGTATACGACCCATTTTCCACGCGAGGCGAATACTAGTGTGAAAGCTGGATGCAAAAAGACACATCGCCAAATATGCACGATCTGCAGTGTCATCATCTGCGCCGTGATTCCCAAGAACCCACGCACGTGGCGACCATTGCACACTTCGCAGCGCCCTGAGGAGTTGTGAGGTCTCAAATGGATATGCGCTGCCCTCACATACGCCGTGCCCACCAAGAGCCCGCGTACGTGGCGACGGTTGCGCAGTTCGCAGCACCCGAGGGAACTGCGAGTTCTCAAATGGAGCTGCGCTACCGTCGGCTCTGCCAGGCCTCCCAGGCCCCCACGGAAAGAAATGGCGACAGTTGCACATGTCGTTACCACCCAGGGAACGGCGAGGTCCCGAATGGGAGTGGTGCCAGATGCGCAGGGCGCAGCCTCCAAGGGAGCAGCGAAGTCCCCCATGGATCCGCGTGGCCCCCGACTCCGCTGGACCGCCCAGGAGCCCACCCACGAAGGTGGTGACAGGTGCGCAGCTTGCAGCCACCCAAGGATTAGCAAACTCTCCAAATCCTCCGCGTGGCCCCCGACTCCGCTGGACCGCCCAAGAGCCCACGAAGGTGGTGACAAATGCGCAGGTCGCAGCCTCCCAGGGGGCAGGCAGCGAGGTCCCCAATGGATCCGCGTGGCCCCCGACTCCGCCGTACCTCCTAGGAGCTCAGTACGCAGCCACCCAGGGAGCCGCGAGGTCTCAAATGAATCCCACACCTCTGCCGTTCTTCCAAGGAGCCCACGACAGTGTCGACCAACATCCAGGGAGCAGCGAGGTCCCCAAAATGATCCGCCTGGCCACCGACTCCGCTGGACCTCCCAGGAGCCCACGAAAATGGTGACCGTTGCGCAGTTCACAACCACCCACGGAGCAGCGAGCTCCCGAATGGATCCGCGTGGCCCCCGACCCCGCTGGACCTCCCAGGAACCCACGAAAGTGGTGACGGTTGCGCAGTTCGCAGCCACCAAGGGAGCAGCGAGGTCCCAACTTTGGACCCCGACTCCGCTGGACCCCCCAAGAGCCGACGACAGTGGTGACAGTGCGCAGTTCGCAGCCACCCAGGGGGGCAGCGAGGTCCCCCATGGATCCGCATGGCACCCGACTCCGCTGGACCGCCCAGGAGCCCACGAAGGTGCTGACAGTTGCACAGTCCGCAGCCACTCAGGGAGCAGCGAAGTCCCCCATGGATCCGCGTGGCCTCCGACCCCGCTGGACCTGCCAGGACCGCACGAAAGTCGCGACGTGTGCGCAGTTCGCAACCACCCAAGGCGCAGCGAGGTCCCCAATGGATCCGCGTGGCGCCCGACTCCGCAGGACGTCCGAGGAGCCCGCGAAGGTGGTAACCTGTGCACAGTTCGCAGCCACCCACGGCGCAATGAGGTCCCCAATGGATCCGCGTGGCCACCGTCTCCGCAGGACCTGCCAGGAGCCCACGAACGTGGCGACAGGTGCCCAGGTTCGCAGCCACCCAGGGAGCAGCGCAGGAAAGGGTCTCAGGAAGGCGAAGGAGGAGGAGATGGAAGAGGAGGAGGAGGAGGAGGAGGAGGAGGAGGAAGAGGAGGAGCGGGAGGAGGAGGAGGAGGAGGAGGTGAAGGAGGAGGAGGAGGAGGAGGAGTTTCGGCCGCAAACATCTTTTCAAAGCGAGAACCCTAACACAGGAGGGTGAGTCTGCGACGGTCTCGTTGTGGAACACACAAACAAACAAACAAACAAACAAACAAACAAACAAACACACACACACACACAAACACACACGCAAACAACAAACATCCAATCAAACAAACAAACAACAAACAGGTAAACCATCAAGCAACAAAAAACGGCGCCTGCGGCGAGCTTCCTTACATGTTTTGTTTTTTTCGAGCCTCGCACACAACCGACGAACCCCGTCCCCTCACTCTTGTCCGCAACTGCGGACGTGCGGCCCACGAAAGACGCCCAGGCTTCACTCCCGTTGCAGCGAAAACGAGGCGTGCAGGCATCGCAGCCTCGCCATCTCCCTCCCCCTGAAAGAAAGGAGTGTACATATTGCTCGTAGCCTGAAGCGCACCAAGACAGCTCCACCTCACAGCGAGCCCAGAATGGGACACCCGAGAAACTGACGATGACCTGAGCCGCACGACGACTCAAGAACGCGAATCAGTCGGGCTCGACATTCGACACCCCGCCGTCCAGGTCGATGGGCAAGGGCAAGGAACCAGAG